AGAGCGAGAGAGAGGGAGAGAGAGAGAGAGAGAGAGAGAGAGAGTTTTCTTAAACTAATCATATGTAGATGTTATATAAATATCTACTAATGAGATCAGTCTGAATCATCAGTTGTAAAGGCAACTATGAACATATGAGTGCATTTGGGGTTTTTGTTTGCATACAGTTGCAATCAGAATAATTCAACCCTCTTGACCTGCAAGACATTCTGCTACTGTGAACAAAATTATATGAAAACAATCAAACCAAACTACTATATAAAGTTTAGTATACCCTTTTGAGTTGTTCTGAGCAAGTAAAGTTGATGAAAAAAAAATTAAATTCACTTTTACTGATTTATTTAGAGAATCTTTTATTTCTTTATAAACGTTGCTTATAATACGTTTCTGAGACCTCTCTACTGGGATCTTAACACATTCCTTGCTTGAAAAAGCTTTTTGATCTTTGTTTTTCATGTTGCCACTGCTTTAGTCAAATCCCACTAAAGATTTTTAATAAGATTTAAATCTGATGACTGAACAGGCCACTCAAGAACATTTTATGACCCATCTCTGAACCAAACTTGCGTATATTTGGATGTACAGTATTTGGGATGATTGTCCCGTTGGAGTGTCCAGTGATCATCAAGCTTTAGTCTATGCACTGAAGGCTTAATAATCTTTGCCAATGGCCTCATACATTAAAGAATCCATTATGTCCTTGATACAGTAAAGATTACCACTTTATGCAACAGCAAATTCCCCTAACAAGACTGGTTCACCTCTATGTTTGACCGTGGTGGTGATGGTGTTCTTCAGCTCATGAGCTTTGCCTTTTTTTGTACCAGACATCGCTGATCCATGGGTCCAATAAGTTCCAGTTTAGTCACATCTCTCATAAAACATTCTTCAAGAACTGCACAGGTGTATCCAAATTTATTTTAGTTTATTTAAATTGGAATTTTATATTCTCCTCAGTCTAGAGTAGTGTTGTCACAGTAGACACAACAAGATGTCCCAACATGATGGCCATGCTTTTTTAGTGTTTGTCTTATACTCTGCATTGAAATATTTTGGAAGTAAACTGAGGGTTTTCTGAGTTGGTCTCATCAAACATTTTACTACCCTTGATGGTATTGTGCTTTTTCTTCAACTCCCTCAAAGTTTTCTGGTACAAATCGTTTTGACAGAGAGCTCTTTTACCATAACACAATTTTCTACCCTACCATACAATTAAGTCAAAATAACAATAATATAGAATATAATATAGAATAGGGGTTTAAAAATGATGACTAGCTGAATTACAAAAAAATCGTATAACTCAAAACTTTTACATTATTGACATTATTACTTTTAATATGTTATTTTTAAAATTCTGGATCTACAGGAAAGCTTACATTTGTAAATTATTACAGTCTCTAAGGGGGTTGAATATTTTTGATTATAATTGTACATATGGGTAAGCATGTCAGATTATATCAGGAGCATGACGTTAATCCTTTGCAGGTTAACAGGATTACAGTAATCTGGCAAGGACATTTACTTTCAGTCTCCTTTATGGCCAGGAGTGTGACTAGGCTCTGCCAACATCAGGGTCCATGGTCCATCTTAGACATAAGAGTTATGTGACCGATGCATATAACATGTTTTAAGCACTGGAAAATGTGTGCACAATAGACTAAAAAATGTTGGTAACATTTTTTATTTGATAGTCCACTTTAGATATTCTAATTATAAGTAAATTTGTGAGGACATGTCAACTTATTCTACTAACCCTAACCTAATGGTCCACTAATAGGCTATATTAGAGTTAGCTGACATATAGCTGCAAATTAATGAGTTAGTTGACATGTAGTTTTCAAGTTACTTAATTAGTAGAATGTTACCAAAATGTTTGTAATTTGTACAGAAAAAGATTGTAAAATTATTTTTTTTCTTTTATATATTTTGTATTTTTATTATTTTTAATATATAGCCTATTAGGATTTTGTTACATTTTATATTATTTTGTTAAAACTACCCACCTGTGCCCACCTGTAAGTATGATTCATTATTTAAGTATATATTTCATACCACGTGTTCAAAACACAGTTTTGTATTGTATACTCTCTAGGACCGAACTTGCCTACCCCTGGTGTAGACCTAGTGCACTAGTCTGCTAAGCAGCTAACTCACATTATTGTCTTGAAATACTTCTGCTAATCAGCTGTGGGTCCACCTTAAAACTGTATTGATGAATGCAGATTGTCTGTCCTTCTAACCACCTTGAGTAATGATAAAGTGTGGAACAAAATTTTGGTACTGTCCATATCAGTGTATGCAAGGTGCCAAAAGACCAATCACAACCGACTTGGCCATCTGACCAATCAGAGCAGAGCAGCCTCTCAGAAAGCAGGGGTTCAGAGAGACCAGATAAGGTATGGCATTGTATGACACAAGTGCCCTGGTCCATCAAAATTACCCACTTCAAGGGTTCTGCCCTTCAGAGGCAATAGGGCATAGGGATGCTCATTATCGTCTAGAATTTGGCCAGGAACACAGTCACAAGGGGAAACAGGAACAGGAACATTTCTTACATTTTTAATGTAAACATACATTTTATTTTACAGTCCTGTTCCTCGTGTACATACTATGTACTTATTATAGTAATTACAAAAACTAGGTAAGAAGGTACTAAACCTAAACCTAACCCTACCCCATGTTATTACCAAAACTTTCTTAGGTAGGTACATTATAAGTACTACATGTAAGTACACGTACTGTAAAATAAAGTGCAAACCAAAATAGTATTGTTTTGTTTTTTATTTATTGATTTATTGATAGTACAAGGAATGTCAACAATCAGTGAAACTGGAACATGATTTTACATTTCATTTTTACACTTTCATTTTTCAAAAAAAAAAAAAAAAAAAAGCTAAGCAGGCATATTGTGACCTGCAAGGTTAATTAAATTTACCTTCCATAATGCATAACTTTATTTATTTATTTATTCATTGTTTGTTTGTTTAGCCTACTTACTCATAAACAAATGGCTTACTTTCCACTTCACCAAATATATTTCCTGGTGGAAACCTTCCATAACGCAAAACTTTCTTTCTTTCTTCAGCCCTTTGAGTTTTTAAATTTTAATTTTAAAAAAAAAAAAAAAAAAAAAAAACTGTGATGCTTCCTTATTTGAATACCACTGCATGCCAAACAGAAACTATAATTCCAGGAAATATCAAAAAATGGTAGGGCTGTCGGCCAATAGCAGATCATGCCCATGATATGGAAGATAATTTGTTTTGTCTGATAGAAGCAGGCTTATAAGAAACTCAAGGGTAATTTGATCTTCAGATAAAATGAAATGGTTTTCTTCATTCAAATATACAAGACTTAACCTGAACACATACACAAGAAATTAAGCCCCAAATAGTGGAATAATGGCAAAATGATATAATATATAATTGATATAATATTCAATCTTGGAGCTCCTTCCACTGGGCAACTAAATAATGCATAACTTTCAGAAGATGGGTTTTTTAATTGTTGCTAAACACTGTTGCACTGTGGGAGACATCCAAAATGGACAGTGCTGGGAAGGCTTCAGGAATGGTTTGAAAACCCCTGTTCTAAAAAAGCAATCTCATCTGTCTTGCCTTGTGTCATCAGACAGAAATTCAGTCTGTTCCTCACATGTTTGACTGCATGTTTCTCCCCAAGGCTGCCCAGTGAGCAGTAATGACATCACACTGCACACAAGCATTGCCAGATTCATTCATGCATTCATTCAATAGCGCTGTGCTATTGCTCTCTGTTCATGCCTTGCATGGTCGTGATGTTGATGCTAGCACTTGAGCATGAACAAAACCTGATAATCCATGTTATTCAGTATGATTGACAATGTCCTAGAGAACACCTTAATAAATGCCTAATAAATAAGATTAATGAATGCTGTCAAAACATACTGCTCTTTGATTTTTTACTGTTAGTGATTAACAAATGAGACCTTATTGTTTTGGCAGTATTATTGACTTGACTGCATGGCACTAGTGGATGAGAACTGAACTGAGTTGGTTGATGGCATCACTGTTTTCTTCATGTTCTTAGATGAATTAAACTCATTCCATAATTGATCAACTTTACACAGTTATTAAACTGAACTGAATCAACAATTAACTGATTTCAAATGAATAATGACTGTCTACTATTGTCTTTTCAGAGCTGCTTTACAGCATAATTGAATTTTGTTTGGAACATTGAATCATTATTTCCCTGTTTGTCACTGTAAAGGTGCTTTGAAACAATCTGTATTGTATAAAGCACTATATAAATAAAGCTGACTTGACTTGTGAAGTGTTAATAATATTTCTTGATTTTACATAATAACATTAACTTGCTTCTCAATATCCTACAGCTTTTTGTTTATGTGCATGTTTAAATGAATTTTGAAGTTTTAAGGTTGTTTCAAACATTTGGATCACAGTATGCATATATATAGTAACTATAAAAGTAAATGCAGAGTGGGTCCTACTGGGCGCATGACAGTGAATGGTTTGAATATGGAGAAAGCTGTATTGTGTAATTTAATATGTGTGAGCACCAAAAGAGAAAGGGGGACTCAGTGAAATGAAAAGCAGAGATATTTACAGCCTGACGGGTGAAAGAACAGATTTAGGCCACCGAGAGTAAGCGTGTGTGGTACAAAGACACATATAGTTGCATAATCATCACTGAGAAGCTCAATCCACAAACACACACAATTATACAAGCACAAATTTGTAGAAGGGGC